GATTATTCTGGTTAGAGATTCATGAGTCTAACAGCTTCTACCCTGAAGCTGTTAGACTCATGAATCTCTAACCAGAATAATCACTGTGAAAAACCACATCATATTGCTGCTGATCTGTTTCATGTTGCTGCTGATCTGTTTCATGTTGCTGCTGATCTGTTTCATGTTGCTGTGTTTATGCGTGCTCATCTGCTCACACAGATTCATGCTCATGTTCGTGCTGCTGTTCAACATAATGTTTTTACGCTACTAGTGCTTAGTGTATTTTTAGTTTATGTTTTTCTTAGTTCATCTTAGATGTTATTACTGTTTTTCTTTTACATTTTATTGTTGGATGTAACTGGGACCCTGTGTACATAATTTCGCTCCACCACATGTACCACATGTGGCGCGAATGACAATAAAGTATCTCTGACTCTCTGACATTTAACGAGCGAGTTAACATTTAGCGAGTTAAGCAGCACCAACTGTTCTGCTGTTTTTTCATTGGCCCTTTCAATCTAATGTGCTCTGCTTTGTCGAAAAACTATGACAACTTTATTCTGAAACACTTTAAATAGGTTGAACAGAAGTATGTAATACATAATTCTAACCAAGTGGGTATTGTAACCCACCCAACCAATTTGCAATTAAAAACTAAAGTAAAAGATTTACAAAGGCCTTGAAGGAAAGCATATCACCCGCCACCTTTCATGCCAAAGTTTTGGACTAAGATCATCTCATGTTGAGAAACTATAGAGTAATTTTAATGAAGCTTTTGCTGTGTAATATCACACGGTAATACAAGATGTCAAGCTCAAAATATGTGTTGAGGATATAACTCTGAGCTACTCCCATATAAAATGTTAACTATATATTATATAAATTGCCTGAGTCACAGATATTTTGTGTGTTGGTTTGCTGTGACGGCCATTTAGAATTGGATTGACTGCAAAAGTTGATCAATATACTTCCAACAGTTACTTGAGTTTCATTAAAATGTGTCGATTTGTTTGTGTGATATTTTGCAGACAGACAAACATGGTTGTCTTCAACAGGCTTCAATGATAAAGTTTCAAGGAAAGAGTTTGCACTTAAAGTTTAATTTGTGAGTGACTCTGAGCAACCAATAGAACAAATTTGAGCAAAATATCTGTAAAACGGACTGAATTATCACCATATTTGTGTGTTTTTTAATTCGTTTTCTTTAAAGGCAGAGGTCTTTCTTGTGGAAGCGACCCTTCCTATTGTGCCCCTTCAGAGGCTCCCTGTTGAGCCTGGTTTTATGCATTACAAAGAGAAAACTGCTTCCCATCGAAGACCTATAAAAGTGTCCTGGTGAAGCAAAGAGTCTGATTAAGTTGCACAGAATGCAGAGCCGCATCCTTTCAGGCAACAGCTGTCTTTCCACTCATCAGAGTTAATCAGTGACAGCATGCTGATTAAATGTCATCATGTTTTCCGTCTTTCGTCCTCATTTCCATCCACCAACCCTGCCAGAGAAAAGAAAATCAAAGTAAAATCTATTGTCAAGCACCTTGTTAGAGCCTCCACTGTGCTTTTACAAACGTTCACGTATAACAGGAACAAAAAATAATAATTATGCAAACGTATTCTAACAGGCACGTTTCTTATCCTCCAAGGTGAAATTGCTTTAGGTCAAAACAGAGAAGGCATCAAGTGTCCATGTGAGTACAGAGGCTAAACTAATTCAAGCTCTTCCATTTCAGAGAGATGCTGAATATCTGTTCACAAAATCATCGACAGAACCGTTCATTCATAGCTTCCCCTGTGGTGTATTTTTGCAGAGTTACAGGCTGTGCATGAATAATAGCTCTTTAGAACTGATCTCCTGCCACTCCATCTGCTGAAGATGTGTGTACAAGTTGGCTTTGGCACACATTCAGGAATCAATGCTGATCACCTCCTGCTGTTCACAGCTGGTGGTGATTATACTGCTATAAATATACACTTTATAGCACAGGGGTTTCATAATCAAAACAGATCCTAACCTGCCAGGGAGAGGACCCACATTTCTAAAAATGTGTTCAAAAACTAGATGGGATGAGCTCAGATTTTAGACATGCTGATTGTTTCCTTGCGAAGGAACAACACTGCCTTCTAGTGGTTGGGAGGAAAAGGACAACTTAAACTTTGGCTTTTCTATTTATACTGATCAAATTAAACCAAACCTAACAAAAAATTAAAATATTTTAAAAACTAAGTGATTTAATACCAACTATAGACACAAAATAAATAATAATAAGTTAAAAAATGAATAAAACATGGTTTAAAAAAACACAGAAAAAAGTATTAAGCTACTAAAACTTTGCACAATTTAGTCCAGTAATTTGAAATGTGCTTTCCTCGTCCAGAGCAGGATTAAAGAGTGCATAGGCCCTTGGATTAAAACTACTTTTGAGGCCCTATTTACATCATGTTTAACCCTTTCAAGTTAAAGTAATGTTTATCAACCCATTTCTAGTCCCAGAGTTTACCATACTCTGAGCTTTAATGTAATATTTAACGTTTGAAGCACATAAACCCCAGTAACCCAATAGGATTTGTACATTTGAAATAGCCATTTCTGCACATATCCTAATTTGGACTTGAGCTGTTTCACTATTTGAACTAGAAATAAAGTATTGTTTTCATGATCCAAACATTTTAAAAGTGGAATGGCACTAAAATATAGGTTTAAATACCAATTAAAATTAAGACAGATAACAATAAAATGGTTATACACAAAGCAGAGAACAATCAGGTGAAACTACAGTTGTGTTATAAATTAATTTCCAATTAAATGTCTGTGCTCTTGGTTTTAGGCTTGGCTGAGTTGCTCCTGTCAACATGAGTGCTAACTCTTGATTTTAGCTAACTGAGGACAACATTTTATCACTGCTGGTTAAAACATCCATCCATTATCTTTTACTTGCTTCTTCCTTTTTGGGTCGCCGGGGTCATGGTGCCCATATCCAACAGCCACTGTGTGAGAGGTGGGGGACACCCTGGACAGGTCGCAAGTCCATCACAGTAAAACAAATTCTGTCAATTTATGTGTTTTATTTTTTAAACAGCGTTCACCAGTTCTTCTTGTTTTCTTTTCTCCTTTTGTTCTCCACTATCACATTTTACAATTACTACCGGTTTACTGTGACCCTCCCTCAATGACTAATAACACTTCAGCAGTAACTAATGGTTGCAGACCCCAACAAATAAAGCATTTCACAGAGATTTGGGCTTATTTTTGTTTTTTTATGAGGAAGAGTGTGTAATAAATCTTTTAATTTAATAAAAACAGTCACACTATTTGGGGGTAAGCTTTGAGGCCCAGGACTGAGGGCTAATTCCCTATAGTTGCTTATTGCCCTTTTCTTGTTTACACCTTTCACTGTAGTCCTTTTAGCTACCAAGTCATGTCATGTCTCCTTAAAAATAAAACGTTTTATTTCATCCTCGTCATCAATTTTTTTTCTGTCATCTGAATACTTTTTAATTATTTTTGCAAGGCATTGCCATTATTTTTGTAGACACTGATTAAGATAGCCATATTAATGCTTTGCTTTAGAAAAAGTTATAGCAAAGTGACCCGTTACAATTAACTGTGATCAGTTCCTAATCTATTTGTTCAGCTATGGACCTTTCGCGCTGTCGCCTGAACTCTGCCTGTCAGGCGTTACTGAGGGAATACTGTCCCAAATTTTAACCAATCAGAGACGGCTACGAACCACGACGTGTTTTGCTGTATTTTCAGCCAATAGGCGCTGCTCTTCATCAGAGCTGCGACCAATAAGAAACCAGAATATTCACTTTTCAACAGGAAGCGAATGAGGTGTATGTTTTTGTACACATCGGTGCCGACGCAGGGGAAAAACTACCATCTGTTGGAAGTTTCAACTCGACCGTGTTTATAGGGATTTTAGTTGAAAGTGATAGAAGGTTTTATTAAACTAGTCCGTAAACCTTCAAGTGCTCAAGGTAACTGGATTAACTTAAGCCCGGCAGTGTTATCATGTTCACCGTGTTTTCCCTCCTCTCAGCCCTTCGGCTCTTCAAGCAGGGCTGGACATAGATGGGGTCTGTTGTCCCCGAATGATGGAGGTTTTAACCGGGGATCATCATGGCTGCTGTGACGGAGTGGCGCTTCATCAGCGGACGCCGTGTCCTCGGAGGATGGGGCCCGCTGCTGTGCGTAGCTCTCGGCTCTCTGGTGGCCCTGCTGCTGCCCCTTATCGGGGTGGAGAACCGGTGCTGTGCCTCCCTGAAGGGCATCTCTCAGCTCAGCTGCCAGCTGTGGGGGAACTCCCAGCCGCCTCCAGCTGTGCAGTCCACCAGCCTCACGGTCCCCTTCACTGCCCTGGATGTGCTGCCCCAGAAGTCCAAACCCACCCAAGGTACGAACAGCACACTAAACATAACAGAGAATGATTTGGGTTTAAATTATTTAGATTTCTAAATAAGCGTGGTCAACATTGACAGCGTTCTATCTGACTTTAATAACTTAATTTAATAAATGTATCTTGGTTGTGAAGAATGGGGCCAGCTTGAGTTGAAATTTAGTTTTAATGATGCAGAATATGAGCAGGTTAAAAACAGTTTCAGCTTTAGATTTGGGACAGTTCCATACCTTTATGTAAAGGAGTTGATGTGTTTCACATGGAAGAAAAAATATACAAGGATCTTACTTTTTGATTCTTCTGTAAATGTTGAATTGCGCATTATTTTGGGGACATGACATTGATCTTATCTTTTACTTAAAAGGCGAGCCTTTAATTATTGCGTTTAGTGTAAAACCTTGTCAAATGGTTGCTGAAAATGTGGGGAAAAGGTCTTTTTGAGAATGAAGAAGGAATACAGTTTGTAAAAATAAATAGCATTTATGTTTCCAAACTTCATTCTGTTTTTCAAAACAATAAAAACCTGAACTTTTATTTAAATTTCCCAAACATGATCACTTTTTTCTTTTTCATTACATATGGACATGGTGTATGTGTAGGAACCTTGACTGATCGTAAATGTTAAATGCTTTATACAAACAATTGGGATGTTTTCTAGATCATGCTCACCACCTTGCATTGATTTGTACTGTTCCATAGACCGGTTGGTCCTGTTCTGTTGACCCGTCTGTCTTTTGTCTGAATGCAGAGATGGAGCTGGAGGCCAAAGCCGCCCTGCAGCAGGCTCTGGAGATGAAAAAACTTGGGAAGAGGGAGAAAGCTCACAAGCTGTTGGTTCATGCTCTTAGTATGAACCCAGACTTTGTGGATGCTCTGACGGAGCTGGGGACCATTCTGGAGGAGGAGAAGGATGTAGTTCAGGCAGACCACCTCTACACAAAAGCCTTGACCATCTCGCCATGCAACGAGCGAGCTCTGATCAGTCGGGACCGAACTCTGCCCCTGGTGGAGGAGATTGACCAGCGCTACTTCAGCTTGATTGACAGTAAAGTGCGCAGATTAATGTCTATCCCTAAAGGGAACTCGGCTCTCCGTCGGGTGATGGAGGAGACGTACTACCACCACATTTACCACACAGTAGCCATTGAGGGCAGTACGCTCACGCTGTCAGAGATCCGTCACATCATTGAAACACGTTACGCCGTCCCTGGAAAGAGCCTCCAGGAGCAGAACGAGGCCATCGGTGTGGATGCAGCCATGAAGTACATCAACACCACTCTGCTGTCCAGATCAGGAGACATCACCGTCAACGACATCCTGGAGATTCACAGACGGGTGCTCGGCTACGTGGACCCTGTAGAGGGAGGAAGACTACGCACCAGCCAGGTGTTTGTGGGCCACCACATCCCACCTCACCCAAAGGACCTGCAGCGGCACATGCAGGAGCTCGTTCAGTGGCTCAATTCTGAGGAAGCCCTGCAGCTGCACCCTGTGGAGTACGCAGCTCTCGCCCACTACAAACTGGTGTACGTGCACCCGTTTGTCGATGGCAACGGACGGACATCACGGCTGCTCATGAACCTGGTGCTCATGCAGGCAAGCTACCCGCCGATTACCATTCGCAAAGAGCAACGGGCTGAATATTACACCGCTCTGGACACGGCCAACGAGGGGGACGTTCGACCCTTCATCCGCTTCATAGCCAAATGTACAGAAATAACTTTGGACACTTTATTGATTTCTACCACAGAGCATGCTGTGGGACTGCCAGGAGCTGACCAGGACCAGGCCTGTCCCAGCTGCAGACAGACCATCCCAGTCCACAAGTAAACTGTGGTTAGGACTGGAACATGAGGCATGCAGTGTTCCATCTTATTATATTTCATATATTTTTAATGGCAAATCCCCAAAAAGTGTAGAAGCACCTTGTGTGGTCAGATCAGTCACAGATGTCAGTTTGGTTTCTTCATTTGCTGAAATCAAAAAATCTGCTGCTGAACTGAAATTGGAATTTTGTTTAGGGTTTTTTTTTGTTTGTTTGTTTGTTTCTGTGATTTAAAGAAAATATTTCTTTTAGTTTTTAGCTTATTTTCCAAGGAAATGTTAAATATTCTTTGACTACTGACGTGAAAAATCATGAATATGTTTGACTTTGGATGACCATAATTTCCACTGAAGTGTTCGTGTTACCTAGCTTTAGGATAAATCCCAACACTGTAAAGCACTTTGTATTTATTTTAAAATAAAAGCGATTTAACTTTGTCGTTAAACTGAAGTCTACGTGAACACGCACAAAGCCATAAGATTCACAAAACTTTATTAAAACAAGAGGGAAATAAGAACTCAATCACAGTGGCAGAAGATGGGACATAAAAACAGCTAAACAAATGCTGAAAGTCTTTATTTTTTACTGAATTCTCAAAATTAACTAATTTACTATAGAAATTATACATACCTGTTAACGCTCGCCAAAGAGAAAATGACTTCTACAGATCAACGGTTAGATTTGTTTTAGATCAGGGCACCGTGGGAGCAACACATACCATCTGTTCTGATCCTTTAAATTAACATTATAAACTAGTCAACTTTTAAAATCTGTACTGAACATTATGTACAAAACTAAACGTTATCCCTTGACATGGAGGGTGGTACCTGCATCGGCTCTTTCATTTAAAGCAGGAGCTGCACACATTTTGCATCATTTTTCAGATTTGGGGGTGTGGTCATAATCCCTTGTTTATTCAGAAAAGTGAAATCATCTCTGAAAACAACCAGATCCCAAAAATTTTTTTAGGTTTAACTTTTTATTTTCTTGCAAATTAATGTTTGATTACAGGGCTTTATGAAAAATTACCATGTTTTCCCCCCGTATTTAAAAAACTCAAAACAGCTCCAGTTTATGTATGCTGGAAATAATTCAGTTGACATGAATTAAAATTTAAAAAATAAAATGATTCACTTAGTTGGGTATCTACACCACTGGACAAACTGGACAATAAGCGAGTATCAACTACAGAAAAAGAAGAAAATAAGCTAATTAGCATTACTAGCATCTTCACATGTAACCTGTGAATTTCACAGCACGAAATCTGGTTCATCTGGTCTCCGAGTCAGAAACAGGAATCAAGCGGACGTCTGAAACGCAACAGATTTGATTCAGGATGTTTTGTTCCTGAACACAATCGGTAAGTTAAATGACTCAATACAGAGAAGAGATAATATTCTTGGAACTGTTTAGCATGAGAAGTAAAAAATCTTGGCAGCTCTTGTACAAAAAAAAGTTGACCAATAAGAACTCTGATGATTCAGCTGTACTCTTAAACAACAAAATGGTGATTTATAGCGGAGGATACTTTCTGTATTATATCAAACTAAAAAGATTTATTTGTCAAATAAACCTCATGGTTCTTGCTCAGATCTCTAACATACACAACAAAAACCTTAATTCCTTTAAAACAGCCAGAGAACATGTTTTCATCACTGCAGCACATCAACATTATGTACACACAGCAACTATAATACACCACCATATCAGAGCTTTTGCATATACCTTTTTTTTTAACATTCACAAGTTTAGCTGCTTTGAAATCTTAAAAATATACTCTCGCATAATCGTCTGTCAGATCCCTTTAACAGCACAAAACAAAATCAAAGAACATGAGCAACAACTTTCAATACAGTATATTTACACACAAATATGATACACTTTTTATAAAATAACTTGGCAGCCGCATTCAACAACCTGTCACACTGGGTGTGTGATGGAGGGCAGGAGGATGACAGTTAAGGCAATCTTGCAGAACGAATAATAATCTGGCTGAGATTAAAGGGTCTATCAGGTAAACAATTACAGAAAAATTACCAACACTAGTTTGTAAGGACACAGGATGGCTTTCAGTAGGAAAGGCGGTTGTATTTCTCCAGCTCGTCTCACTTGTTGAGAAGCATCTTGGCAAAGTCTGAATTCGACAGAGACCTCGGATCTCCAGCTGCGTGCTCTGCCGTGTTGACGGACGCCGACGCTTGCTCAGCTGCGGTCCCGTTCTCGACTTTGCCTGCGGTCGCCGTTTGACGGTGCAGGGAACGAGGAAGCAAAGACAGCTGAGTTCGACCTTTTCCTCTCCTGAGAAAAAAAATGAGGGGAAAATTAGAATTTTATTACCGTTGTAATAAAACTTATTAGTACGGAAGTAATGACAGTAAACTTACGCTCCATAAACCTGGCGAGGCATCAAGTCTGCCATGGGCCTGCTGGAACCAGCCTTATCCATCAGGTTTCTACGTGGTGGGTTACTTATAGCAACAGAGATTTTGTTGCCTTCCACTTCAGTGCCATCCATTTTCAGCACTGCCTGAGACGCCTGAGTTTCATCTGCAAACTCCACATATGCCAGACCCTGCAGAGACACACAAAGAGACGGCTACAGCAAACTTCTGTACCTCATTAGCATCTCATACGTTCTGTTGGATGGTATCAGGTAGAGCTGGGCAATATAGCAATATTTTTTAAATATCGATATAATTTTTTTTGCCATATAAGTTGAGACTATATCGATATAAAAAATATAGTTTTGTACTTGGAAAATCCTGCTGTCTTTCTCCTACGCGATCCCCCTCCTTAAACACAAACACACAACCCTCAGCCGCACTCCCCTCCTTCCTGCTTCTCCAGGAAGTGGGCGGGCGGGAGGAGACGTTTAGCACAAGTAAACATGGAACATAATATCAAGAGTTTAGCTGCTGAACAAAATGAAAAACAATGGCTGTTCTTTCGGAGATGGTTTGGATTTAAATTGTCAGATGAGGGGCAGAAAGATGATTTCTGTAGACAATGCTGAAAACAAGTCCCGACTGAATCTTTTTCACCATTTAAAACGGCGGAGTGGAATATGAGCGTGTGTGAGGCTGCATGTCCGACAGACCTCAGCCTCCTTCCCTAAAAGAAACACGGGTCAGAACTCATTTAGCCGTGGCACAGAGAGGTGGCAACTAAGCGGCTCCTTAGCGGCTAACAAGACGGCTAATGCTTTAGCCATCTTGTTCCACAGCTGAGGACCGTGTCTTAGTGATATGATAAACTGCTGATTAATTAATGTCTCCACCTCTCTGTGCCACGGCTAAATGAGTTCTGACCAGTGTTTTTATTTTCAGGGAAGGAGGCTGAGGTCTGTCGGACCTGCAGTTTCACACACGCTTACTAACACTAACATGTAGGCGGCGCAGCTGAATGGACTGTACTTACATATCACCTTTCTATCTTATCAAGACTCTCAAAGCTCTTTACACTACAATCTGTCCTCATTTACCCATTCATACAGCATTCTACTAGATCTCTACAAAGAATAATCAGTGCTTTATCACATTCATACACCGATGGGACACACATCAGAGGCAGTGAGGGGTTCAGTGTCTTGCCCAGGGACACTTCAGCATGTGACTGCTAGTGGAATCGAACCCCCAACTCTCCTATTGGGGGACGACTGCTCTAGCCTCTCAGCCACAGCCACCCCCAGCTGAAGAGATTATTTAATATATCTAAATAAATGTCTGAAAAATAAACTATTTAATATATGTAAACAGTTTATTTTTTGTACAGTTACAGCTGTTGTTAATAAATGTGCCTGTGTGACACTTGGGACAAAGCTTTGACTCAGAAATATATTTTTGTTATTACTTTATGGAAAGAAATAAATCTATATATATATATATCGTATATCATGATTTATCTTAAAATATCGAGATATTAATTTAGGTCCATATCGCCCAGCCCTAGTATCGGGTGCTAATCTTTTAAACGACTGCTCTAAGTAAAACCTTCCGACCGCTGTCTTCTTCTTTGTCTCACCTTCGGTTTTCCAGAGCGATATGTGACGAGACGAATGTCCTTGATGGTGCCGTGACTTTTACAGAGTTCCTCCAGTTGCTCTTTAGTGCATGAGAACGGCAGCCCAGAGATGAAGATTTTGTGTTTTTCCATTGAAGTGTTGTATTTAAAAACCTAAAAAGAAATTCATAGAGTTTTATTACTCTTTTTGTCCACTTACTATATTTATGAATAGTCCAACAAAAGAAATAAGATGTGTTAACAAACACACTGTGAAAAGTTAAATGGAAAAAACACGAGTCATTATAACCAAATTTTCATAAATTGAGCAAAGAAAAATGTACATTTATGTATTTCATTCCTTATTTGAAAGCTTTTATCAAGGGCCGGTCTGCCAAGAAAACCAGCAGGGAACAAATTACAAGATGACGCAACAAAATCACATAATCAGAAGTGATGGTCTAAGCTGAAGAAAAAAAAAAGAAAGAGGTGAATTAATCAACATGATGGGAAACCTGGTGAGACAGCACACTGGATGACGAAAGTAAAGACTTTGACCACTTATATGTGGTCTTCAACAAGTCTGGTAACATCCATGTGTAATTTTTATTGATTATCTAAAATTATACACTTCTTACGTGTCATTTCCAATAAACCAGGAGGTGTTTCCATTTTATTTATTTTTTGTTTCCATCTTGCTGGTTTTTATACAAACTAAAAATAAACAGGTACTGGTGCTGGATGAAAAATGTGTTAATAAAAGTCATTCAACCTTTATACAGGTTGTTTTTTTTCTCACTCGTTCTTGTGCAAGACGGACGCCTTTCTTCCCTCTCCCGACCTCCTCATGCTTTTTTTGCTCTTTCTTGTGTATCGGAGCTCCTATTTACACATCTTTCGAAATGTAAACTATTGTCATAGATCTGGTCAGCTGGACTTTCAACGCAATCGATAAATTTTTTTCAAAAAAGTAACAGGGTCCTGGAGAACCTGCAGGATACGTCATGGATCCGTGGGAGGTTTAGAAGCTGATGTGTCTTTCCGTATTGTCTCAGGAGGACGCTGAAGATGTTCATACAATTGGAATCATGATAGCAGGGTTTCTACTTTTTGGCACCGGCGGATACTTATGTTATCGGCTATTAAAGAAGATGGCGGCAGCAGTTTAGGCCATGGCAAAGCTGCCGACCCTGTGTGAAGGTTTGGTTTGTGTTTTGAGAACTCAAAATCAGCTGATTTACGAGCTAAACCGTAAGATGGAAGCGATTTGTGAGAACCACAGGCCACTTGCAGCTTCTGGGACTCGCCAGCATGTTGGGGACGACCTTGGAGGGAGCTCATAAGCACAGACCAGTGGAATTCCTACTAATGTGGCCGTTCTGGATTTAAAGTACCAGCAGAACTCAAGGCTGACGAGAAATAACAGTCTGCCTGAAAAAAATCAACAACTGTGGCTTATCTGAATCTGACTCCCCCGTTTGGCCTCGAAGCAGGCCAACTTATCAAATTTCTCCTGGGACATGTGTTAACTGAGAAAGCTCTGTCTATCGCAACCTTCTGTGCAGGTTTATCAGAGCTGTACCGGCTGACACCAACATCTTAACAGGACTATGGACTATCTGGAAGTTCTTCATGAACAAATCTCACCGTCTTGTCATCAAATGCATATGTAATGTGTCTATAAATGTGCTTGCTGGTAGAGTTTTTTGATCTCTTCAATCATGTCCTGATAAGGACAAGATGCGAAGAGATCTTTTTTGTAATACCACTATCCTTTCTTCATGGCCTTTTCCCCTTTTCTATCTAAAGAATAAGAGGTCGTGCTCTTAGGAGCAGCAGCAACGTGCACTCCGCCCATCTTTCAGATGACTGTACAAACATAATCTCACTGTATTTCGGTACAATGATAATAAAGCTTAATCTGATTCATGGCAAAAAAAAAAATGTTTAAATGTATTTTGTCTAATCTTTGTTTTTTCAAAATAGCAATAACTTACAATACATTCAAATTAACAAAAAGAGAAAAAAAATTTGGTTTAACAGGTGGAAAAAACGTGATTCACAAATATTGAACACTTTAACCTGGCAAAGAATCAATATTTATTAAATTTCAGCATTACATCACTTGTTTACTCACCTTAAAGTCAGGATTTTTGTTTTTGTCCACACAAGGTGACACAAACATCGGCCTGCCCTCCACTTCCTGTCTGTCCAGTTTCAGAGCCTCGGGGACTGATGCCACAGACTCGAACTGCACGTAGCCATAACCTTTGAAACTCCCTTTGTTGCTGAAGATGGGTCGGATCTGTTTTATTGGACCACAGCTCTCGAAAAGTGTCTTAAGCTTTGCCTCGGGCTCCTCCAGGGTGTACGTCAGGTTGCTGATGAACACACTGGAGCTGTCGTCTCGTAGCTCTGGCTTGTCGTCGTTCTGTCTCTGAGAGGAAACCAACGGAGCCTGCTGGGGGTGTTTTGTGCTGCCTGGAGCAGGTTTATATCCAGGGGGAGCATTCCTCCCAGAAAGTCCAGTCTCTGTTTCCATGTACTCGTCTGTATTGTTGCCACCATCTGCTCTCTGCCTTTTAGGAGCTTGTAAATCACAGAAAAAAGAAGAATTTAGAAAACATACAAGGATTTGTTTCTCAGATTGAAAATCCACAAGAGATCTTTTACCAGAGTCCTTATTCCATTCATCCTGATTATGATCTTGTTCCGCTTTTCTCTTCTCCCCAGCACGAATGCCCTTCTGGGTCTTCTTCTGAGCCTTCTTGTCTGTTTTGGCCTTCCGCCGTTGCTCAATCCTCTCCTCCTCCTGGCGTGCCAGGTTGGCTTCTTTCTCGGCTGCCTGACAGATGGAGGAAGATGGCAACATTAGCCAAATGATACACCTGCTCACTGCAGTGATGTGTGCTCCTACCTTTGCTCGTTGTTCATTAATTCTGTTCAGCTTCGTTTCTGTTTTTTGCACCGCTGTATCCCAGTCCTCCAAAGAACCTGCGTGAGAGCAGAAACGTTAATGACAACAAACTGGGCATGTACTGTGGAGTACTGCAGGGGTAACTGCTGAGTTTATTTGCATTTAATACAAAAGTGATTTTTAACTTGAGTTTTTAGTGCTTTTCAAGTCTAATTCAAGCAAGAACACTTTTCAAAATGTGAATCTTGTTATAGAATAAAGATGCACAGTATCATCCATAGTAATAGCTTGATGTTTGTTTTTAGGATGAAACTCACCATCTACCCTCTCAAATGTGAGCAGGACTTCACAGACGTGTTCTGGGTAGTCTGAGGTGCACTGCACAGCTCTGTGAAGAGCCTTTCTGCAGTGAGCAGTGTCCCCATAAGCCCTATAGTTAAAAAAAAAAAAAAGAAGGTAGTTTATTCTCAAAGATGGCATCACTTAAATTAGTATATTTTCCTCTCAGAGATGGACTTGCAAACCTTTCCAAGTTGTAGTATTCCAACCACATGTTGGCATATTTAGCGTTCCCTTTCGTCATGATATTATCCCACAGTTCTCTGGCTTTTTGCATGTTCTTGCAGTGGCGGGCCTGTTAGCAAAACAAGGAAAATTTAACTTTTTAATACTTGCATATGAGAGTAAGCTTTTTTCATCTCTTTTAGTAAAAGACAGGAAAACATTGCAAGTTTATAATGTCAACCTAATTAAAAAGTCGCTCTCAATACATCAACCTTTTACATCCACGTGCTGCATTTCAGGAGATGTTGCTGTTGTGATTTAATGAGGCTTTAAGGTGGTGTGTCGAGTCATATTATGAAAAATATTTAAAAACAGGAAGAAAAAAACTTGCAGGGCAAAATTTACTTCCTAAATGTATCTATTTGATGAGATCAGCTTTTGACAGTAGTCGTCATTGTGACTGTTTACCTCTATCCTTGCCCAAGTCTGCATAATGACACAAGAGGGATCTCCACTTTCACCAAACCCTGCAGTTACACAACAAAGTAACATGAAAACCAAACCGAGAGGGAAGTCAAAGCCAATGAAGAAGAGTTGACCCACTTTCTTCAACGTCTTGTTTCATGTAGTCTAGAGACCGAGAGAAGGCTGCTCGTAACTCTTCTAACTCTTTACTTGATTCTGGAAAAAAGAAAAGTGACACAATCGATCAAAAAGTACATAAAACAGAGCGAGAAGAAGAGACGTTATTTATAACACAGTAAAAAGCTGTTTTTCTACTCAAGCCGTTCTCACCTTTAGTGAAATCCACACGTCTCCTCAGGTAGTCGAGGAACGCCTGCCAGATTTCTACATAATCTGTTGCTTGGATGAAGCCTGCGTTCAACGCCTTCTCAAAAACATCTGTGCAGAAGATGAATATTGAAGAAAAACACCATATCACATACATAAACATAGCAAATCACGTGGATCTACTTTAGATTTTTTTTTCCCACGAATAAAGCGAACACTCCAAATAGACTCGAATAATGAAAATGGCAGCCGAGTTGAAACACTTCCTGCTGTGCTCCAGCTGTTACCTGACACGGTGTGATGGTCAGCTCCGTGCCTCTCCAGGGCCAGTAAGTAGCTCTTCCACAGACTCATGGTCCAGGGGCAGTTTCTGACAGCTCGCTCATGAGTGGAGAGAACCAAGTCTTTGACCTTCAGCTGACGATCCTGTAGAACCCAAAGAGAAAGTATTAAGTAAAACACTGAGTATTTTTATTGAGTAGCTGGGAGTAGTACCGGTAAATGATTTAATGGGGCACTTTTAAAAATAAACACATTTGTTATCGGAGAGATATGAAAATGTACTGGAAATTTGTGATACAGTTTGAAGAAACTAGTCAATAAAATATGGGTTTGAGAAAGCGTCAGTCACCATAATTTACTGACACTGTTGCCATTCAGCACAACAAGATTAGCTCTAATTAAAGACTTTTTTTATTGTGTAAAATGATTCCCAAAAGAAGGGTGTAAGGTAGAAACATGTTTGGCACAAATCTTATCTTTGTTTTTGGCTTTTTGCTGACGTTTGGTGAAGTTGTCAAGTTTTAAATGTCATGGGGGGAAAAAAATAAATTCTTTAAACCAAAAGTGCCAAATACTGATCAATACTCACAAGATATGTGGCGTATTTGGTCCACATGTCCGGTACCAGGCAGTTCTCTGCCAGAGCCCGCTCAAAGGTTATCTGGATCCGTGCTGGGTCGCCCTCTTTTAGTTCAAAGTCAATGTAGGCCTGATATTCTGACAACTTAGGAGGTTCTGCAACTAGCTACAGAAAGATAAGCACAAAAAAATGTGATGCACTTAGAAAAAAACATTTAAATTTAATGAGGTCAAATTAAAAAGATGTAACTAATTCGGTTACCAGAGCTTCTTCACAAAATTTGCGCTTTTCCATTTGCTGCAAAGCCTTTCTGTACAGATGTATGACCGTCTCAGGCACGCCGTTTTCAGACCACTCCTCATATTCAGCATACGTGGCTTCCATGTCTGCAAAAGCACAATTATCTCATAACCTAAAAGCATTTACCCTTTTTAAAACCTTATTGGATGACAAGTTATCAGCGTCACATTAGGAAGGTTTGATTTAGTCACTGCAGATTTGTATTAATGCATGTACCGTAGCTTAATCTGTACTCAGTACTGAGACCAGACTGGAGAAAAGGTTGCATTTTTTTCAAGCTGAGCTAAGAAGCAAAAACAATAAAAGAACAACAACAACAAAAAAAGTCACCGGATTAAAAAACTATTTTCAGTCCAAACCTATAAACAGACTGAAAGCGTAGTCAGATCTGCAGAGATTCTGAGGCACAACACAACCTGCTGCTTTGTTCCAAATGACTGCATCAACTCAATTATTCATTTTTAAATGGGATTATTCAGGAAGGCCATGACACACAACCATCACAATGAGATTGCAGCCCTATTTTACCGCAACCCATCTGGACAGAAGAGTCGCCGTGCTTACCGATTAAAGGAACGGCCAGCTGGCGGCGGAACAGTGTATGGATTCGCTCAAGCTGACTGTTGAGCAGTTCCTGCTCCTCGCGGCTGGGAGTCCTGCCAGGAGGAGGCTGAGACCAACAGAGAGAATTATGATGACATTTAGCTCCTTTTGATCAAAATCAAAAGAATTCCTTATTTTACATTTATCCTGAATTAGAATAATCATTCAAACACATGCTCTGACACATAAAGATGTTTATACACTGCACTGTATTTTTTAATTACATTAATAAAAGCGATTATTTTTTTGAGGATCCAAATATTAACAAAACATTTATAAAAACTGAGTACATCTCTGGCAACTGAGAGGATTTTTTTCCAGCTGATGGAAACACAAACCTGCACTGTGGACAAAATTGCGTTCTCAAATTCTCTGTAAGCCTCCCACAGCATCTGCCCCTTGGTCATGTGAAGTCCCACAGCTGTTACCGCTCTCTCAAAAATGGACCTCACCTTGTCCATGCCACCTGGCGACCCCATGCCACCAATAGAGTACTGGGCATATTCAAGCCAGATGTCTGGACCTGTGTAAAAAAAAAAGGCACAAACTAAAACGTTAGAACCATGAAATACATGAATATTAAAACAAAAGCAATGCTAGGAGGTGGACTCACAGATATAGTCTTTGATGGCTCGCTCAAAGAGCTCATATACATTCTCTCTCTTTGAATCCTCCTCAGTCAGCCGGATCTCATCCTTGAGCCAGTCCAGCCAGATCTCTGAAAAAAAAAAAGTTTAATAAATACACGTACAATTTCAGATGCAAATAACGCAGCGCTGCAGACTCCTTTTGTCATCTGGATTGTATTAGACATGAACCGACCTTCAGTGAGAGGGAAGAGCTCGCTCATTTTCTGCCTCGCCTTTCGTAGACGGAAAAGTTCTCCCTCCTGTTTCAGAAGTTTGATGAGATCCACGTGACAGTTGTAGTCAAAAGCGTTGATCGAAAGCTGCAAAAATACAAGATATGCTGAGCCATAAAACTTTAACTCATACTTACTTTCTATTTATTACCATGTAGTTAATATCAGAAATATACTATTCCTGCAACAAACACTTCCTGAAAAGTGTAAGCATACAGCTTTAGATTTTTTTATATACAATTTTTAAACGGTTTAAGAGATTTGTGACAATATCAAAAAGCAATATGCATATTGTTCTCCCATCATCTCATATAGTTTTGAAACTATATATATCTAAATATAAAAAACTCAAGTTTTTAAATAGTTTTGTTGACCAAAATGTTTAACATTCCTAGTTTAGTGACTGCTGATTGACTGATAAGCCTGATAAACCTCTTGAGTGAAAATATCACCTTCTGCAACAGATTGCAACAATTTTCACATTGTAAACTTTCCTTTACTCATTTCCTTGTTGCATGTTCTTACTTATGCTCACTTAAAAATCCTCCAATAACTCTCTCCTCAACAACTGAGACATCCTTCAAGACATTTTGATGATTTCAAAATCACAAACAGGAGGTGTGTACGTTGAGGTATCAATGTAGGTGTTTATCTTGCTATTCTTATCTTTTAAAAGTTAAGACATTGTGAAATTTGGAGCAAAAGCCAACACATCAAGTTACACATTCTGTTGATCCACTAGTTGCAGGTACTAATCCTACTACTAATACCTGAATCTCCTTTTTGCATCACTGAAACTGAAGTGTATTTTTTACGTTATAAAATGGGATTAATCGTGTTTATCAGAGACCCAACAAAGTTAGATGTGTGCACTTTTAACTTTTACAGTTAAAGCAGTGTTTCCATGCCAACGTGATCAGGTAGTGAAAAGGCGCGTGACACACCAGACAAGTCGTTAGCATCAAAGATTAGCGAAGCTAATCACGACATGTGAATGTTCATACGTGCCCACGTAATTAAAAAAAACACTCAACAAACACTAGCCACTCCATTTTTTTTTTTTTTTTTTTGATTTTTTTTTATCTTGACCATGTTGAGGCCGAGATCCACGATGTTTTAAAGCTGACGACTTGCAGCCTCCATTCATTCTCACTAGTGGCTCGACGCTTGTTTGGTGGATTTGTTGACCAATTACCTGCTCCTCCAAACGTTGGATTTCGGCTTCATTTTCCTTCTCGTCCTCCGACGAGTCGTCCTGTTCGTCGTCTGAATTTTCTACACCCATGCCCTCCTCCTCTTCGTCCGATTCCATCTCTTTCTCCTCCATTCCTGCTTCGTCCTCCTCCATGTCTTGCAACTGCGTTTGTTCTGCGTTACTTGGCGCCGCCATATTGGAATAACCGTCTGCCTGGTAACAACGAGACAGGCGTTAAGGAAGGCTGGTTTATCATATAATAGTCAAACTCAGTTCAGTAGATGCTATTTCAATTCTTACAAAGAGAAACAAGAAGGACTTATTTTAAAACTTTTAACACGTACAAAATTAATCTGGAGATGTCCTGTTCATATTACAAGTAGTTAAAAACTATTTCCAATGTCAGTAATTAATTTATTCATTCAACCTTTATTTATACAGATTAGACTCTTTTTTAAACAAAGAATGATGACAACAGTAGACAATCATAAAAGAGAACATAAATTGAAAAATAAATAGAAGAAAATTATAATAATAATAACAATTTATAACAAAGATCCACACATTTTCCAGATTAATGGAATGTAATTTTAATTCAAAACAAGTTGAATAAAAATAATGACAAGTATCAAAGTACGCATATGTTTAATCTAAATATGTTGGATGTAATTTTAAATATATCGGAGCTTAAAACGTGAATTTAAAAAATGATGTAATTTGTCCTAGGAGCAACGACGTTTGAGATAACTTGAATAGTTGACATGATTTCATTATATATTACATCGGCCTGCCAAACTCCTTTACACACCCCTGAGGTTGTAGAGATCAACATTCACCGCCAGGGGCGCTCTTTTGTTATTGAAGCTCATTTTCACCTGTTTGTCAACAAGGGGGCGTTCGTCATCGCTCGGGTTCGCTCGTTAACTTCCGTCAGTCAGTCGTCGTTCAAACATGGCGTCTGTCTCCTTGCGAAATTCTGTGTCTGTGCTGTCATTTCTTAGCAAAAAGCTCTTCAGACCGGAGCCGAACCCTCTTTGCGCTTATCACAAAAAGGTAACGGACTATACACTTGTGTTTTAACCAACTCTAATGATCTTTGCGTAAAGTTAGCTCGTTTTGGTTGTGGCTCAGAAGTAAAACGGAATAGTAACACACGCCTTAACGCGTTTTTAACTTCCCCCCCAAGGTGGTGGACCATTATGAAAACCCGAGAAACGTGGGCTCGCTGGACAAAAACTCCAAGAATGTGGGGACTGGACTGGTGGGTGCGCCGGCCTGCGGCGATGTTATGAAACTTCAGGTGAGCTGGAGGTCAGCAGCACGAGTTTCACATAATGGTCAAACCTGCTCACGTCCATGTTGTTTCCAGATCCAAGTGGATGAAAACGGCAAAATAACAGATGCAAAGTTCAAAACATTTGGCTGTGGGTCAGCCATCGCCTCCAGCTCTTTGGCCACAGAGTGGGTGAAGGGGAAGTCGGTATGACAACACTCAGAAAGAATGGACTCATTGATTATTTGTTTATTTGTTCTTGGAGAATCTGATCAATTCGTCCTGCAGATTGATCAAGCTCTGAAAATCAAGAACACGGACATTGCCAAAGAACTCTGCCTTCCTCCCGTCAAGCTTCATTGCTCCAGTAAGTTAAAGCAAATACAACATATCTTAAATGTTCCTTTTCACATTTAAACTTATTATTGCATGACTAAACGGCTTTAGTGCCGCTGTCAAAGATTGTGCAATCTTTAACTGAGGGGTAAACACCAGTCTGCTAAATCTAAAACATGTTTAGTAACACTAATAAAATATCTCATGGACAAATTGGACAAATTTGAATAAAACATGCAGAAAGGAACCATACAACTGATTATCCTTTGGGCTCAATCTGACTTAAGATGGCTGCCACAGCTAATCAATATTAATCAACACAAAAATGGTGTGCATAACGTTATTTTTCAAGTTTTACCAAAATGGCAATTACTCCATAGTTAAGATGATCTTAATCTAAAACTATGTGCTTTTTTAAAATAAATGTTAGGTTCTTTCTTCTTTTTTCGGCTTTTCCCTCTTCAGGGATCGCCACAACGAGTCCTCCATCTCACTCTGTCCTCTGCATCCTCTGTCCTCACTCCAACTACCTTCTGTTTCCTCTCTAACTTCATCCATTTATCTCCCCCTATTAATATTTAAAAACCTTCTTTTTAAGCCCCTTTCTTACATTTTCGTTTGCATCCGTTTCTTAAACTTTCTCCATCCTTTCGTTTCAGTGCTTGCAGAAGATGCCATCAAAGCAGCTCTTTCAGACTACAGACTAAAACAGGATGATGAGGAGCAGCGTTGACTGTGACATTTCAGTGATGTCTTGGGGACAAATGTCAGCGGGTCAGTGCCGCGTGAAAGACAAGTCGGGGAGTTCTGGGAGTCTTAAGGAAGCTGAGCTGCCTCACCTCAAAAGTTGTCTGTGGATCCATTTTGGCCTCGGATGAACTGAACGTACTGATTGTGCAGTTTTGAAGTCAAAGATGAATTTCCCACAGCGCTGCTCCCTTATTATAATGGACACACGTTTCATATTTTGCAGTGATTTTTTTTTTCAACACATAAAAATATTTATTCAGACTGAGTAGATGGTTTGTTTTATTTTTATAAATATTTTGGCTTTTATTTGGCTCCGTTGTATAAAAGGTAATAGCAAAGGTCCACATACCAAAACTAACCATACTTGTATAGGACTGTTTGCACATTCTGAAATAAATAATTTAGAATGGAGAGGTGTTCCTGTGTGTGTTTGTGTGTGTGCTGCCCTCATCCACCAGATCTCCCGTTAGCTGGAGCCACCCTTTGCTGGCGGACGAGTACTTTTTTCAGCAGGATTAGCACTGCTAGCATTACGAGAGCTAAAAGAATGCACAAAACGGCGAGCAGAGAGATGATCACTGCAGAGTCCTTCTGGGTGAAGACCTGTGGGTGAGTGAAGAGCTCGTCTCTCTGGGTGGACAGCCACGGTTGTGTTCCTGCAGCTGAGGTGGTCTGAGCTGTGGTGTTTCTGCACCTCTGCTCCTCCTCGGGGAGAGAGGTTGGTTTCAGATGGGTCGAGCTGACCGATTGGGTTTTATTTAGGGATAAACACTCTTCATAGGTGAGAGTTTCTAACGAGTAGTGTAAAACACGAGGCTCTGAAGGATCCTGACTGCTCCGTGCTTTAGAAGAAGCTGTGGATCGCTCTGAAAGCTTCAAACCGTCCCTGTTGTCGTAGGAGACTCGCGTCTGCTTCTCTGTCACTGCTGAGTTCAGATCGAGTCGGTGCAGCGTTTCCTGTGGCTGCAGGACGTGTGGACAGATGGACACGACCGAGAGGTTCAGCAGCAGACGGTGTGCCAGATGGAGAGGCTCTTTGCACACCAGGTCTGTAGCCATCTTCAGTCTGCCGCTCAGCAACCAGCGGTAAAGATACAGGATGTTGCACTCGCACACCCACAGGTTGTTGGTCAGATCCACGGTCCTGAGGCGAGGCAGGCTGTCGAAGGCCTTCTCTGGGACTGTTCGCAGGCAGTTGCTGTTGATCTGCAAGACCAGCAGGTTGACCAGAGCGGAGAGCGAGGGCAGGTCCAGGGAGGAGATGCAGTTTGCTGACAGGTCTAAATGTGTCAGCGATGGAGGGAGATTCAGAGGGAGGCTGGACAGCTTGTTCCCCTTCAGCGTGAGGATCTGCAGCTTCCTAAGACCCAGCAGCGCTCCGGGCTGGATCACAGAGATGCGGTTGTCCTCCAGGTCTAGGCGAGTGAGGTTTCTCAGCTGCCTCAGTGAGCCTGAGGTGATGTAGGTGATGCGGTTCTCCTGCAGCAGCAGGGACTCCAGGCTGGGAGGCAGCCCGCGGGGGAAGCGGGGCAGCAGGTTGTGACTGAGGCTGAGCTCCTGCAGGCCGGAGAAGGGCCCGAGCAAGTGGTCCACGTTACAGAGCTGGTTCCTGGCCACAGACAGAACCGAAATGCTGAGAGGAACAGAGCGGGGCAGCGACCTCAGACCCAGAGACTCGCACAGAACAAGAAATCCTGGGCGAGGACAGCAGCAGCCAGGAGGACAGGGAGACACCATGAAGTAGGTGAGGGGACAGATGTAGAGAGCGAGGAGGACGTCACATCTGTACCAAGGCATGGCTCACTGTGAAGAAAGAACATTTTACACAGAAAGCTGAACCAGTTCATCCGTTCTACTAAATGTTTTCATCACCTCTAAATGAACTTTATTTTAAAGGATCAATTGGTGAAGTGGAAATTTACCGTTTTCCAGCACGATTATATTAGACCTGAAGGATGCCTTCTGTTCTTCATCAACTGTATTTCAGGTGTTAGAGAATCACTTTGTTTTTGCTCATACTCTTTCATGTCTGCTGAACTTTGCTATTTTTGTATTTGTCAGAGTCAACTAACAAAATCTGAACACAACTTTGACAGGCTGCATGTAACAAAATGTCTAAAGATCCCATTTAAAACAGCTTTTTGTTACGTTTGCTGCTCTGAGTCAATGGAACGCAGATTTATACCTGAAGTTTTAGTCTTTTAAACCTGAATGATTCATAGAGCAAAATTTGTTGTTTCTTTGTACGTTAGATAATGGACTGCAAATATGGAAGCATTAAAACCCCCAAATAAACCCAATTACTACTGATCAAAACCACTTAGACTAGAAAAAATATCTGTACTCCTGGAAGCAAACAAAGAACCAGAGATGGTTTAAGACTTTTGCACAGTAAGTATTCTTGACTTGTTTACTCAAAAGTAAAATGTTTTGATAAACAGATCTGTCCTGTTTAATGATCATCTTAATCAACACAGTAATTTTTTTGCAATGAATTAAAAAAAAATCATATTTTAACAAAACATTTACTAAATATTTTATGTTTATTATAACCGTATGATTAGTTACTCAGCAACTTAGGATGACTTTTGTCACAATCTGGCAACCCAAAAATAGTTCCCACCAGTGAACGTTGATAAATCCACAACCTCCCCCAGTTTAAGGCTAAACTCACCATTATTCTGCTCTGGTAGTTTCTGCTCCTCCAAAGAGACGAGTCCCAGCTCCGGTCCAGTTCACCGTCTCCCTAAAGATGACCACCGCTCTTCAGAATTTAGGCTGGTGCTCATCTAAGTTTAATGAGGGCCTTAAGGTGCTCTGTTACCTTCTCTAGATCCTCTTCAGCTTCACATTGATCGGGAGGTCCTGTTGTTGATCAGAGGCAGACAGAGAAGAACCCACTGAAGATATATGAAATCACAAAAGGTTGTGGTTTTTAAACTAAATCAAACCTCTGAGTTTGATCAGTCTGTGAGTTTCTGAGAGCTCCTCCTGTGTTTGTGTCTTTCCTGTTCCCTGATGGGAGGAGTGAAAGTGAATGGAGCTTTCCCTAATTATTTAGAGCTTCGCTGGCAAAAGAGCAGGGAATCTGACCCGAGGGCGAGGTTCTGTCAGGGCTCACGTTTCAGCCAGCGGGGATGCTTTTGATTTGAGTGCTGTCATGTCATGTTTGATCTTTGACTCTGACCTGCTCAGGATTCAGCTCAAACTTCATTTTCTTCTGGAAGATGCTGGACCTTTTTCAATTTTGGTCTTATTTATTCATTCTCTTCCTCATATTACATCATTTACAGAGAAGTGGTTGTTGTGCACCTTTCACAATTAAAAGAAGTAGAAATCAATGCCTGAAATGGCCACATGGGGGCAGTATTTCATTGATAAAACATCTATCCATCAAGGATTTTTGAGCATGCATCAGGATCACATGCTCAATAATCCAGGTAGAAAAATCTAAAAAAGTTAAATCTGGTCCTCTGGACATTCAAAAAACAAAACAAAGCAAAACAACAAAAAAATGTAGAAACGTTTCGTATTTCATCCGAGAGACTTCCTCAGTCTGAGGTGTTGTATTCAGCTCAGTCTCTTAAATAGCACCTTCTCAGAGTGGATCAACCAGTTTTGCTGCTGACAACCAAAACCAGCTGATCACATGCTCAAGAAGGACCAGCAGCCTAACAATGGATCATTAGCACACTGATGGCTGTTTACTATTCACAGAGGGCTGAGTGATACTAGCAATCACAGCATTGTAAGACGGGGACAGTTGAACCCGGAGGCCTCCACCCCTGTTTAATGATGGACGGTTTCTTTTCACAAAGATGGCCTCCTTTACTCCTCTCTCAAACCATCGTTCCTCTCTGTCCAGGATGTGAACATCTTCATCCCTGACAGAGTGACCGCTGGCCTGGAGATGAGTGTAGACCGCAGAGTCCTGGCCTGATGGTGTTGATCTTCTGTGCTGGGCCATCCTTTTGGCCAGTGGCTGTTTAGTTTCCCCGATGTAAGACTGATCACCTTACTGACACTGAACAGCATACACAATATTACTCTGTTTGTGCTGGGGGACTGGATCTTTGGGATGAACCAGTCTTTGCCGTAATGTATTTTGGGGTTTAAAAGCCACTGGGACGTTATGTTTAGAAAATAAACGTCTCAGTTTCTCTGATACTCCCTCAACATATGGAATGACCACTGGTCTGGGTCTGGGTTCCTCCTTTTCACCTGATGGCTGACTGGAGTCCTGTTTGGGTTTCTTCTCTGCTTTCAGGAAGGCCCAGTTAGGATATCCACATTGCTCTAGAGCCTGTCTTGTGTGGGATTTCTCCTTCTGCCTGGCTCCTGAGCTAGTGGGGACGCTGTCTGCTCTGTGATACAGAGTCCTGATGACTCCTAACTTGTTCTCCAAAGGGTGATGGGAGTCAATCTGCAAATACTGGTCTGTGTGGGTGGGTTTGCAGTACACCTCGGTTTGCAAATGTCCTAGGTGAATCTATATAATATGAGTTTCACTTTCTGAAATGACTGATAAAAAAAAAATCAACTTTTTCACAATAGTCAATTTTTTTTAGATGTATGTGTAAATGGAGTATTTAAATATGTAGGAGCTCAGGTTGTGATGGTTACTGCCATGAGTACCTTCTTCTATAGTTCTGGGCTTTGTGTTTGGATGATGCTGCCAGTGGGTCCCATCAAGTCCAGCCAAGAAACTGGGAGAGTTCTTGCTGTTTTTGTAAACCTTAAATCAAAGAACAGCTAAATTCTTATCACAGAGCAGATCTCGTGAATCTTACATTTGTGCAATTACCTTAAAACAGTCAGCAATCATGCCCGAGAAGACAGAGAGCTAAATTACAGATAGGCAGCCAAATGTGCACGTTGAAAACATCTTTAATTTTAAGAACTATCACGTCTGGGCTGTGTTCGTGTTATTTTATCACCATTTCATTTGCCACATTCACAATAAAAACAGAATATAAAAACATTCCCATCCAGACTTTTATTAAATGTAAGATAAAGAGAAATGTTTTACGGTAAATAATACAAATATCACTGAAAGTGCAATGTATGGACAGAAAAATCTGATTATTTTGCCAGGACAAAACCATGAATCATAAAACAGAGGAACTACAGATCAAACATTTGTAATAATTAATTAAATGTTTAGTCATAAACTTTAGTGATGAGGTTGTAAAATGGAAAATGTTATCTTTTTTGGAGTAATCCAACAAAACAAGAGTTTTAATCGTTTTGTAAATCTCAAAAATCATCCAGCATCCATACACTCAGCCTTTTGACTCCTTTAATAAATCTTTAAGAATAAAAAGCAAAATCTATCTCATAAATATATAAAAACATATACCCTGATATCAGTAAATCTGCTGATATTGCACCCTACAGCTGGAAGAAAAGCAAACATTTTAATAAAATAAATATGGAAAGACAGATTATGATGAATTTAATATGCAGAACTCAAACAGCTAAAAAAAATAAAAAAAATCTAAATTTGGCTTTTAGTTTAGTTTTTAAATTGAATTCTTAAAATTAAACGCAAAATGAATAAAATACATACAAAAACACTAAGCCCCAAAAATCTACTAAATATGAAAGTAATTTTTTTTTTATTCACTTGTATGTTTTATTCGTGTTTATTTACAGAAACTAAATGATTCTCCTGAAGCTCCTCGTGTTTGAAAAACAGACATTTCTTTGTGTTGGAACACGACTCAGTTTCTCTTCGTTTAAAACAATAAAAGTTGTTCTTGTGTTTAGTCTTTCACAGAGAGTTATTTACAGTAAAGTTTATTATGTCAGTGAGGTGATGCCGCCTCAGTGGTTTTGTTCGGTGGAAGAGAACAGCTGGTGCTGTAACCACTAAAACAAATACGGAGCACAAAAAGTGCCTGTCTGGGATGACGAACGGACCACCGACGCCCCTCAGCTTGTGTTTAGAGAATCAGCATCATTCAGCTCAGGTCTGCTGAGTCATACTGAGGTGATTAAAAAAATACAATAAATTGTGGGAAACATTTTGTAATTTTTATCTCAACCCATCTGCATGCACACTCTATCAGGGGTCTGCAACCTGCGGCTCTGGAGCCACATGCGGCTCTTTGGTCCCTCTGCAGCGGCTCTTTCAAACTTTGACCAAAACTGACATAAAACTGAATTTTATTGGATGTTATAACAACTCAAAGGGCTAGTTTTAGCAGTTTTCCTGTAATTTATTTAGCAAATATATGAATACTAGAAACATTACAAGGAGTAAAACATATTCACTTTCACTTTACGCTTTTTTCCTTCAAAGTAGGATATGTAATTTTTCTACAATAAAAAAAAAATCGCATAAGAATGCATAGTTTATTGTTTTAGTTCGTAGAAACTGAGCAAAACCTATATAATTTTTCCTTATTTCCAATAATCTTGTCTTTCATTTTGTCTTAGCGTGTAAAAATATCAATAATGTTAAAAATCATTAGATATTTTTAGTTTTATAAAATCACCCCTACTGTCCAGAAAAGCACCCTCCAACAAACTTAAAGTGGTCCGTGGGCCACCAGTTGAGAATCCCAGTTGTAGCTGGTATTGTGGCTCCGGACACGTTTAATTTAGTGAACAAAGGGGCAGCAACGGTTCTTCTGATCGTAAAGTTTGCAGACCCCTGCTCTACATAATCCTCCCCTCCAGGAATATATCTGGTCACTTCCATTTGTGCTACATTTCCATTGTTGGGAAATTAAGTGTCACATTTTCTCTTCTCAGTTCTTTACTTTCGTTTATTCAGACTTCTTATCTGTTTCAGCCATTTCTACAGAAAGATGAGACAAATATCTCTTATTCTGAAAGACTCGCTCAGTAATGTCTGTGTCGTTTTTGCCTTCAGTTGTTTGTTTGTTTGTTTGTTTGTTTTTGTGTTGGTTAATTTGAACCTTTTCACAATAAATGAACGTTTTATGAGGATTTCTCTTTGCGTGACATTTTGACCTGATTTGCCCATCTTTATGTGGAGTAAACTCCTCGATAAGACCCTAGTGGATGGATTTTTTCAGATGGCAGGTGCAGACTGGCTGGCTGGGGCCGGTGCTGGGACTGAAGCTCTGCTGGATCTTCACCTCCTCCTTGGGTTTTGATTCCACTCTCCTTTTTTCCACTTCCTCTACCTCTTTGACTTTTCTGACCTCCTGGTGAGGCGACGACCTCACATCTCTCCCCCTTTCTCCCACCAGAGCCTTGGAGGGAGCGCGCAGGTGTTTGGGAGAAGCCGAGCTCAGAGTCTGGACCCTCTTGACGTGGTCCACTGCATATGGCTTTTCCTGGAGCTCACTGGAAGTCTTGCTCCCTCCAGTCTTTTGGGCTGTGAACTTCCTGGGGGGGTTAGGAAGAGGCTTGTAAGCCTCCAGCTTGCTCTTATGACTCATGGCTGCGGCACAGCAGATGATGAAGACCATGACAATGAGGAGAGAGGTAACAACAATGATGATGAGCAGGTTCTCCTGCAGGAAGTCCACCACTCGGGTCAGGATGAAGTCTCTCAGGCGGATCATGGTGGTGGTGATGGTGTTGGTGATGGTGGTGGTGAGGCTAGGAGGCTCAGTGACCACAGTGAGATGAACAGGCGCTCGGGTGGAGAAGGACGTGGGAAAGATGAGCTCCTGCTCGGCCTCATCGCCACTGCCGTCCATGGAGATGTTGTAAAACAAAGGAGTGGAATGAGACAAACTGCAGCAGAGCCAGAGCAGAGTCGTACAGGCGACGTGGAAAACCAAGTGGGACCTCATCTTCAACCGTCAGTCCTGGAACAACAACGAGGAAAAAAAGGTTTTTTTTTTACTTAGCAATACACAACATAGTCTGATACTGGGCCTGGGTACATGCCTGGTTCTCACTTGTAAGTACAAGTACAAGATATGTGTGCTCATACATAAACCCATTTGTGATAGGTACCAGATAGATGCCAGGTAAGAAGCAGGTACTTCTTAGGTTTTATGTGTTTAAATGTTCTTGATTTTATATGTACAGCACATTGTGGCAGCTGTGGTTGTTTTAAAGGGCTTTATAAATAAAGTATTATTATTATTACTTACCAAATATGTACATATGTACATGTCTTATAAGTACCAGCTGTACAACTGCATTATACCAAATAAGTGTCAGGTAAGAACTAGAGACAAATGTGGTAAGTATCAGGCATGTACCTGGTAGTATCAGGCTGTATTATTACCTTTTTATTGTTGTGATTTTATTTTTAAGATTATATATTTGCTGTCTGAAAGCGTTCATTTCAGCAATTATAAACCTAAAAGCTATTAATTTCTTAAAAGGTATCCCAGGACTCCCATTAATCCCATTAATTTGGCAGCATGGCTGCTCAGTGGTTAGCACTGTTGCCTCACAGCAAGAAGGTCCTGGGTTCAATCCCCATATGGACATGGGGTCTTTCTGTGTGGAGTTTGCATGTTCTCTCCGTGTTTGTGTGGGTTTTCTCCGGGTACTCCAGTTTCCTCCCACAGAACAAACACATGCATGTCAGGCTGCCTCCAGGCCCAGGCCTCCCTTACAAAAGAGATCTGTGATCTCACTGGGATTTGCCTGGTTAAATAAAGGTTAATAAATAAATAAATAAAATAATATAAATTCTTTAGACTTCGTTTGTTTAATCCTCATGCAAGAACACAAAAAGGAAAAGTTTCTGTGTCCTTGCACACGACATCCTGTCAGCGTTTCTTTGTAGCCAGAGACCTGTGCAGGTTTGTGCTCTCCAGTTTTGGAGGTGCTGATGGTGCGTTTTCTTTACCTTTGATGAGACTTCCCTAATTCAGTCGTTATTCTTAGCTCTGTTACTGAGCCTCTGGTTCAAACTAATCTTTATCCATGTCCGCTCAAGGTTTTCTCTCCCAGTCTTTCAGCAGATCTATTTCAGCAGGCAGCACAGTAGCCATTACTTATTTGGGGTGGAGACGGCGAGCTTGGAGCTGGAGGCCTTATAATTTGTAAAGCAGAGGGAGGCCACCCATTCACCACACCAAAGCCAGGAGGAAGCTCAGTTCCAGCGGGAGCACATAGGCGTGGGAGACCTGCGGCTGTGGCCTCTATATTTACACTGGGCACCAGCTGCTGCACCCCCGCCCACGGCAGACCTGATGGAGATATTCCTGCTTCCAGAAAAACCTGCGTTCACTTACAGAACAACTGACAGAGCACACTTTTCCACCAAATGTTTGCCGTCTTCTGTGTTCTGGTTTGTTTCGATCTTCCCTTTGAGACAAAGAAAGCTGCAACCAGTGAGTCGGTTCTTGTTTTAAACCTGTTTAACTTTTAACTCAGTGTGCATTTATGCAGCACCAAGCTGTAAAGACAAGCCTCTAATCAGCCTCATGTTAAATTGAAGCTACTGATCCGACTGACCCTGCACAATGAGAACCCTCCACTCGTTGTGTGGTCGAATGTACAGCGTGTATTCTGCTGGACCACAAGGTGGGCTGGGCCTTCATCCTTGGATGTACAGCTATAGAAGCTCGATGCCCAGTAATTAGAGCTAAAATTACATTTCCTGAATGTCACCATGATGGCACTGACCACCACTCATCACATGTCCACATCTGCACTCGGGTGAAGAACCTGCAGAAATCAGATGTGTCACTAATGGACTTTGTGACTGTTGCACTTCTTATAAATTGGCTTTCCTTAAAGTTTCTTCAACAGTGGAAAGTGTTTGTATGCACTGGTGGCACAGACTGAGCAAAACAAATAAACAGTGTCACTTTTAGCATTTTCCAAATTAAATCCCACCGCAGAGTTAGACAAGGTCAATTAACAAGTTTAAGAAAATTACATTTTTAATCATTACTGTGGGTATTATTTATAAAAATGTATATATTTATTTTTAATGTAGGTATTTTTATTTCGTTTTTTAATATCATTTTCTTCCATTTATTTTTTTTTTCAATCTACATGCTGTTCCTATGATTGTCTACTGTTGTCATCACTCTTTGTTTAAATCAGGTCCCTCTTGAAAATGAGTCCTCGAGGCTCACTGAGACTAACCTGTATAAATAAAGGTTGAATTAATTATTTAGCATATTTTTCAGAGCTTCTACCTAAACCACAGTAGCCAGATTATGATAGTAAAATATAATCCAGTGAATCTGACACAGTTTTAAAATAAATGACTTTGATCTGCTGGATCCTGGACCCTTATGTATGTGTATGTATGTATATTTACATGTGCATGTGCATATATGTGTACATATATGCTTGTAAGCATATATATATATATATATATATATATATATATA